TTCTTTTGATGCTTCCTGCATTGTTTAGTATTTTGCCCACAGAATCGTTCACTATTGCAACTCAAAGCTTGAATTTTTTCTTCAGTTCTTTCAGCCTGAGAAATGCCGAAGTTAAAGCAATCAACTGCTAACCCAAAGGTCAGCCATTCAAAACCACCGGCAGCTCCTTGGGAGAAAGAAGTGGCAGCCTGCTTCTGTAGAGATTTACAGCCTTGGAAACCAGATGGGGTCACTATGAGTCAGAATTGACTCGACGGTTGTGGTTTTTTTGGGGGGTATGGGTGGGTAAATACCAAGGAGCAAATTGCTGGAAGATATGATAAGCCTGTGTTTAGCTTTGTAAGAAACTGCCAGACTGTATTCCAAAGCGGCCGTTTCATTTTGTATTCCCACCAGCAATGAAAGAGCGTTCCTGTTGCTCCACATTGTCCCCAGCACCTGGTGTTGTCAGTGCTTCTATGAGTCAGAATCGACTTGACAGCAATGGGATTTTTTTTAAATAGGTGTCAGGGAGGCCTGGTGGTGCAGTGGTTGAGAGGATTGGCTGCAAACCAAAAGGTAGGTGGTTCAAATCCACCAGTCACTTGGAAACCCTGTAGGGCCGTTCTTCTCTGTCCTATAGGGTCGCTATGAGTCGGAATCGACTTGATGGTAATGGGTTTTGGAGCACTGGTGGCACAGTGGTTAAGAGCTACAGCTGCTAACCAAAAGGTTGGCAGGGTGGATCCACCACTTGCTCCTTGGAAACCCTATGGGGCAGTTCTACTCTGTCGTATAGGGTCACAATCAGTCAGAGTCAACTCGACGGCAGTGGGTTTCTTTTAAATGATATACAATGCTGAGCATCTTCTCATATGCTTAGTTGCCATCTGTGTATCTTTTCTGGCAAGGTGTCTGTTCACATCTTTTGCTCATTTTGTAATTGGGTTGTTTGTTTTCTTATTGTTGAGTTGTAAGAATTTTCTGTATATTTTGGATACAAGTCCTTGATATGTACGTGTTTTACAAACATTTTATCCCGGTCTGTGCCTTGGCTTTTCATTGTCTAAATAGCATCTTTCATAGAGCAGAGTTCTTTATTTTAATGAAGTCCCACTTATCAATTTTTTCTTTTATGGATCATGAAATTGGTGTTATATCTAAAAAGTCATCACCAAACCTAAAGTTTCTTAGATTTTCTCCTATGTTGTCTGCTAGAAGTTGTATAGTTTTACATCTTCTGTTTAGGTGTATGATACATTTTGAGTTATTTTTTGTGAAAGGTACAAGCTCTGGGTCTAGATTCTTTTTTTGCATGTGGATGTCCAGTTGTTTCAGCACCATTTGTTGAAAAGAGTATCTTTTCTCTTGAATTCTTTGCTCCTTTGTCAAAGATCAGTTGTCCATATTTGTGTGGGCTTATTTCTGGTCTTTCTGTTCTGTTCCACTGATCTATTTGTCTGCTCTTTTGCCAATACCACACTGTCTTGATCACTGTAGTTTTAGAGTGAATCTTGAAGTCAGGTAGTGTCAATCCTCCAACTCTGTTCTTCTTCAGTATTTGTCTTAGTCATCTAGTGCTGCTATAACAGAAATACCACAAGTGGACAGCTTTAACAAAGAGAAGTTTATTCTCTCACAGTCTAGTAGACTACAAGTCCAAATTCAAGGTGTCAGCTGCAGGGAAAGGCTTTCTCTCTCAGCTCTGGAGGAAGGTCTGTGTCATCAATATTCCTTGGGCCTGGGAGCTTCTCCGCACAGGAACCTCAGGTCCAAAGGACGTGCTCTGCTCCTGGCACTGCTTTCTTGGTGGTATGAGGTTCCCATTTCTCTCTGCTGGCTTCTCCCTTTTATATCTCCTAAGAGATTGGCTTAAGACACTATCTAATCTTGTAGATCTCATCAATGTAACTGTCACTAATCCATCTCATTACACCATAGTGTTAGAATTTACAAGATATAGGGAAATCACATCAGTTGACAAAATGGTAGACAATCATATGATACTGAGAACCATGACCTAGCCAAGCTGACAGATATTTTTGGGGGACACAATTCAATCCGTGACAGTATTTATTGGCTATGCTGGGGCTTTTGCCTTTCCATATAAACTTTAGAATTAGTTTGTAAATACCCACAAAATAACTTGCTGGGATTTTGATTGGAATTGCATTAATCTGTAGATCAAGTTGGGAATAATTAACATCTTAATAATATCAAGTCCCTAAACAGAGTCTCATTGTAATCTTAATTTGCATTTCCCTGATGACTCGTAAGTTTTGGTGTCTTTTCATAATTGTATCGGCCTTTTGGATAATCTGTTTCGTATTTCTTGACCACTTTTTTAAAACGGGGTTTTAAATGATTGATTCGTAGGTGTTCTTTGTATATTGTGGACATGAGTCCTGTGTTGGATGTATGTATTGCAGATGTCTTCACATCTGACTTGCCTTTTCATATCTTAATGTTTTCTTTTGATGAACGGAAGATCTTAATTTTAACATAGTCCCATTTACGCTTTTCCCCCCCTTAGGGTAATGCTCTCTGTACCTAGTTAAGAACGCCTTCCCGACTCTGAGGTATCGGAGTGACCTTTAAGGGGCGAAACGGCTGGGATTTGGTTTTCCAATCCCTCACAGCTAGTTTGAGTGAGGTCATTTGTCAAGCCTGGGCTCGTTGGCCCAGCACAAGGCCCAGAGCCCCTTTCTCTGCAGCCTGCAGCCCGCAGCCCTGGATCATGGTGAAGGGCCTCCTCCTGGTGTCCAACTCTTGCTCAGGAGGGACCAGGTGGCCTGCCACACCTCTTCTAGAAAAGCCATCACCTCAAGAGTCCCTGTGGGCTGTGGAGACTTGAGTTCTAGGAGGGGTAAAGCAGCATCAGCCAGAGCTCTCAGCCACCTTCTCAGGGCAGGCCTGGGGCTGTAGGTGGGCACTGTGCATCCAGGGCCATCAGTGGCAGTGGCCCTGGGGCTCCGACTGAGAAGAGACCAGGCCAAGTGTCTGCAGGCCAAGTCTCTTCCCTCCCACCATCTTTGCCGAGTGCCTGTGCTGGGGGGCATTATGCCACACACAGAGATCACCAGGGAACAGGGCAGGGTCCCCCATGTGGGGCCTGTGGGCAATGGGGAGGGGCAAGCAGCAGGTGCAGTGCAGCGCTGCAGGACCCCCTCAAGGGGGGCACTCAGAAGACGGGGCTGCGGACGATGGGTGCAATGACGTGCCCAGCTCTGCCATTTACTTGGTGGCTTGGTATGTGTCTCTCCCTCTCTGGGCCCAAATGAGGCAGTGTCCATAGCCTGACACGATGAGTCACCTATCGTGAGTCCCTAAGGGGCCTGCGGTAGGAGTTACGGAGAGCAACGTCCAGGGCTGGAAATCAGACCCAGCCCACAAGGGAAGGAGCTGCACTGCCCAGTGGCTTTCACCAGAGTGTGGCCATCCCTGAGGCGCCAAGCAGACAGGGGATTCCTGCCCTGGATGGGAGTCAGCAGGACCTTCAATGCCTGCCAGCTCAGCAGGGCTGGGCTGGGGTGTGGGAGGGATTCCTGAAGTGGGGTGAGACCCAGAAGGGAGGAGCAGCTCTCCCTTCCCTCAGGCCTGGCTTCTCTGCCCAGGTGGCTCTCCCTCCTTAGAAGGCAAGGTGTTTGAGTGCTTCTCATACATGGGATCACTGGTTCTCGGAGGGCTGAGCCATGGCTGGAGGCCTGGGAGAAGCTGAGGGGGGACCAGCCACAGTTCAGCCCCTCCCTCCCATCACCCCCTGGCCGCCTCCACCCAGCTCCCCACCCAGCATGCCCTTCTCTGGCCTGGCCTGCATCCTTTGCCTCTCCCTCTCCCTCAGCCACTTCTTGTTCTCCTCTCCTCCCTCAAGTCTGGTCTACTCAGGCTTTAAGCTGAGCTCAGGCACAGGCAGGGGCAGGATAGCACCTCCTGAACCTTCACAGACCCCTCTCTGAAACGAGACAAAATGCTTTTCCTCCCCAACACCTGCTAGAACAACAATGAGGTAAAGGAGCAGAGATCAGTAACCAGCTGCCGTCAAGTTGACTCTGACTCATGGTGACCCTGGGTATGTCAGAGTAGAATTGTGCTCCACAGGGTTTTCAATGGCTGATTTTCTGGAAGTAGATCGCCAGGACTTCTGAGGCACTTCTGGGTGGACTGGAACCTCCAACCCTTCAGTTAGCAGCCAAGCGTGTTAACCATTTGCACCACCCGCGGACTCTGGAGTAGAGACACTGGCAGATGGTCATGAAAAGAATCTATCCAATCGCAGCCAGTGAACTCAGCCAAGGACAGACAGCGGGATGGCACAGGCCTGCCCAGACCTTGTCAGGGAGCAGAGTCTCCAAATGTGGGCTCCAGCAGGAGTGCTTGGCCAGTGGGCAGGCTGGGAAACCCCTCATGGACGCGCAGTCTTTGGGGTGAGCAGAGCAGCAGAGAAGGAAAGGGGTGTGTGTGGCCACTGGCAGGGACATAGCGAGGGTGATGAGGGCCCAGGGGCAATCTCTAAGTTGCACCTCCTTCCCCAAATTTGAAGACGAATAGACATTGATAGCAGCGACCAAAAGGAGATGCCCAGCAGCCCGCAGCCCGAGTGCAATTTCTCGCCACGCCTGCATCCCAGGCTGTAGGCTGTCTGACAGGGCTGCTCCAGGGGCACCAGGGCAGCTGCAATGGAGTAAGTAGCGCCTCCAGGCCGGTGAATCACCCTGGCAGACACCGAGAGCCGCAGCAGCAGAGAACAGCTCTGAAACACGGCTGAAGCAGGCACAGGCTTTCTGGAGCAGTTCAAGTCCTGCATAGTTTGGTCTTGGACATATCTCTGGACTGTGTGGTGCCAACCTCTCTGATAGTGTCACTCAGTGCAGTCCATACCCCTGAACCCCCCTAGTGATGTCACTAGCACCTCCTTAGACTCGTGGCTAGGGGCATGTGCCCACCTGCCCCCCTCACTATGCTTCTGGCCACTGGCTCAGCTCAGTTCCTCAGATCTGCCACGCAGACTAGCACCTACTTACCAGAGGGACATGGGACCTGTGGAGCTGCATGGGGCCCCCTACACCTCCTGCCAGCCTGAGGGAGGAATGTGGAGCTGCAAGCAGAGACACCTCCTCAGAGTGTCCACATGCTGGCACCCCAGCTCACCCACCTCCCCGCAGGCCCCACTGCACTCCAAGCAATGATGAGTAGCTGAAGCTGGTCTTGTTACAGGTGACGTCCACAGCAGAAGGGTCCCCTGGGACAGCAGAGAAAGGAAGATCCCTCGAAGAAATCACACCAAATCAAGAGTGTTGCCCAGACACACAGAAGAAAATTGCAAACACTTCTCAATGGATTCAAAGGAATTAAAGGAAACCTAGCCTATTTGAAAGAAAGCTCCAGAAAGAAACACAGAGGTGGAAACACCTCTGACCTTCTTGGGAGGCACCGTGACTGCCCCCAGCACCCAGTTCCACCTGCCAGACAGGCAGAAGCCTTACTTGGAACAACACTTTGCTGTCCTCTTGGCTACAGACTCACTGGGCCAATGGGATCCAGTGTGTCCCTTCTGCATGTCACCTCCAGGTGGGAGCAGGTAATGGCCCATGCTCAGCTCCCCAGGCTACTCTTTACCAACTGAAGATTGTGGAGCCTTCAGGTGCCTGAGTTCTGGAGAAGTCCCTGACGCGTGGTAGCTGTGGGCATAAGTGAGAAATAAATCTCTGCCGTTTTCTAGCTACTGAGATGTGGAAGGTGTTTGTTACTGCAGCACAATCCCACCCATCCTGACTGATTGCATCATAAAAGTTGACATTTATTGAGGGTTTTCCATTTGTCAGCTCCTCTTCTAAGAGATTTTCAGATCATTAGCTCATTTGAATCTTACTCTGTGGTGGCACAGTGGTTAGAAGCTTAGCTGCTAACCAAAAGGTCGCGGTTCAAATTCACCAGCTGCTCCTTAGAAACCCTATGGGGCAGTTCTACTCCATTCTATAGGGTTGCTATGAGTCTGAATTGACTTGTTGGCAAAGGGTTTTGTTTTGTTTTTTTAAACAGTCTTTATCTCATTTTGTAATGAGGAAAACAAGCCAGAGAGAAGTTAAACACCCTCCCAAGGGCGTTCAGCTGGTAATTGAGGGAGTTGGGAAAGACCCCACCTCTCAGACTCAGACCATGCAGGCGGTCACCACCTTACGTTGACTGTTTTCTCAGGAAAGAAGCAGAGGGAAAACACAAAGTCGTCAGATGTATGGAAACCACTTTAGAAACATTAAACAGTGGGACATATCTTCTAAAACACAGCCCGGATGGAGGTGGCAGAACTGAAAAAACACAATTCATGTATTTCAAAAACATTCAGTAGCCTTCTATGTGCCAGGCACTGTTCCAGGCAAGCAGAATACACCAGTGAGCAAAACAGACAGAGATCGCAGCCCTCCCAGAGACTGCATTCTACAACTGAGCTAGATGGAATTGAACAGAATAAAGGGTTAAAAAGAATTAGACAGAAATCAAGAGGTTTAGAAGGCAGGCAGACTGGTTACAAAACAAACGTTATTGGTATTTCCTGAAGAAGAGAATAAAACAAATGAAAAAAAATATTTTTCAAAGATCTAATAGAAGAAAATTTTCCTTAGATTAATGAGACCCTGGATCTACAGATCAAAAGAGGACACTGTGCCCCAGGAATAGTGGTGGATGGCTGGAAAGTCTTGAGGACATTACTGGACTTTGAGGATAAAGAAGCTGACAGGCGTGTGGGCAAGAACCATAAGGAAAGACCAGACTTGTATCGCACTTCCCACAGCAATATTTTGGAAGATGTGGCCACCCTGTGAAGTTGGTTTGAGGGTTCACTTTACTGGCTAGGGGGAGAACAAGGCTGAGAGAGGTCCACAAGGTCTTCTTGACTCTCTTGAACATTCAACTCCCAGCACTGTCATGGACGTACCTGGCACCCAACCACCTCGGAGGAGCTGGGAAAGGTGCCCCAGCTGCCAGCAGGGCAGTGCCCAGGGCCCCTTTTGCACAGGTCTGTTTTGGTTATCTGTTTTTGCCTTTGTTGTTTTTATCTGCCACCAAGTGAGCCCCTGACTCATGGTGACCCCATGAATAACGAAAGGAAATGCTGCCTGGTCCTGTGCCATCTCCATGATCAGCTGCTGATCAGACCATTGTGACCTATAGGGCTCTCATTGGCTGATTTTTGGAAGAAAATCATCAGGTCTTTCTTCCTAGTCCATCTTAATCTGGAAGATCCACTGAAACTTGTCCACCAAGGGTGACCCTGCTGGTATTTGAAGTACCGGTGGCAAAGCTTCCAGTATCACAGCAACACACAAGCCACCACATTACAACAAACTGACAGATACAGGATTGTTGTTAGATGTCATCAAGTCGGTTCCAACTAATAGCGACCCCATATATAACAGAACAAAACATTGCCCAGTCCTGCCATCCTCATACTAGTATGTTTGAGCTCATTGTTGCAGCCAGTGTAAATTCATCTCATTAAGAATCTTCCTCTTTTTCACTGACCCTCTGCTTTACTAAGCATGATATCCTTCTCCAGGCATTGTCTGTCCTGATAACATGCCCAAAGTAAGCAAGACAAAGACTTGTCATCCTTGCTCATAAGGAGCATTCTGGCTATACTTCCTCAAAGACAGATGTGTTGATTCTTCTGACAGTCCATGTTGTTGTTGTTGTTAGGTGCCGTCAGGTCAGGTCTGACACATAGCAACCCTATGTACAACTGAAACACTGCCCAGTCCTACGCTATCCTCAAAATCCTCACTATATTTGAGCCCATGATTGCAGCCACTATGTCAGCTCATCTCGTTGAGTATGGTGATTGTTAAGGTTGTGTGTCAACTTGGCTGGGCCGTGATTCTCGATGGTTTGGCAGTTATGCTGTAGTTTGGCAGACTTATAATGATGTGATCATTTCTGTGATGAGAATTGATATAATGTGATCACCTCCAAGATGAGATCTGCTGTGAGTAGCCAATCAGTTGAAAGGGAGTTTCCTTGGGGTGTGGCTTGCATCCAATATAGGTGGACTTTCTGGCAAAGCTCGTGGGCTTTAGCTTGCTTTGGATCTTGCAGCTGCCTTCTGTTCATCTGACTCCCAGTTCTTGGGAATAGAGTTAGCAGCTTACCTGCCATCTTGCCTACTGATATATATATACATATATATATATGTATCCCTATGCATGGGTCTGTTGGTCATAGTGTGGGGGCTTGCATGTTGCTGTGATGCTGGAAACTATGCCACCAACATTCAAATGCCAGCAGGGTCATCCATGGCAGACAGGTTTCAGCTGAGCTTCCAGACAAAGACAAACTAAGAAGAAGGACCTGGCGGTCTACTTCTGAAAAGAATTTGCTGGTGAAAACGTTATGAATAGCAGCAGAGCAATGTCTAATATAGTGTCAGAAGATGAGCCTCTCAGGTTGGAAGGCACTAAAATATGACTGGGGAAGTGCTGCCCCCTCAAAGTAGAGTCAACCATAATGATGTGGATGGAGACAAACTTTTGTTAACTTCATGTGCTGATGTGGCTTGACTCGAAGGGAGAAGAAACAACTGTAAACATCCATTAATAATCAGAACATGGAATGTATGACGTACGAATCTAGGAAAACTGGAAATTGTCAAAAATGAAATGGAGTGCATAAAGATTGATACTCTAGGCATTAGTGAGTAGAAATTGACTGGTATTGGCCACTTTGAGTCAGATAATCATATGGTCTACTATGCTGGCAATGACAATTTGAAGAGGAATGGTGTTGCATTCATTGTCAAAAAGAACATTTCAAGATCTATCCTGAAGTACGGTGCTGTCAGTGATAGGATAATATTTATATGCCTACAAGGAAGACCAGTTAATACAACTATTATTCAAATTTATGTACCAACCACTAAGGCCAAAGATGAAGAAATTGAAGATTTTTACCAACTTCTGCAGTCTGAAATTGATCAAACATGCAATCAGGATGCATTGACAATTACTGGTGATTGGACTGCAGAGGTTGGAAATAAAGAATAAGGATCAGCAGTTGGAAAATATGGCCTTAGTGATAGAAACTATGCCAGAGATTCCAAGATAGAATTTTGCAAGACCAATGATTTATTCATTGCAAATAACTTTTTTCAACAATATAAACAGTGATTATACACATGGACTTCACCAAATGGAATACATAGGAATCAAATCAACTCCATCTGTGGAAAGAGACAATGGAAAAGCTCAATATCATCAGTCAGAAAAAGGTCAGGGGTGGACTGCAGAACAGACCATCAACTGGTCATATGCAAGTCCAAGTTGAAGCTGAAGAAAATTAGATCAAGTTCACGAGAGCCAAAGTGAGAGCTTAAGTATATCTCACCTGAGTTTAGAGATCGTCTCAAGAATAGATTTGATGTGTTGAACACTAATGATCAAAGACCAGACGAGTTGTGGAATGACATCAAGGACATCATGCATGAAGACAGCAAGAGTTCATTAAAGAGAGAGGAAAGAAAGAGAAGACCAAAATGGATGTCAGAAGACACTCTGAAACTGGCTCTTGAAAGTCGAGTAGCTAAAGCAAACTGACAAACTGATGAAGTAAAAGAGCTGAACAGAGGATTTCAAAGGGTGACTAGAGAAAACAAAGTAAAGTATTATGACATGCGCAGAGACCTATAGTTAGAAAACCAAAAGAGAAGAACACGCTTGGCATTTCTCAAGCTGAAAAAACTGAAGAGAAAATTCAAGCCTCAAGCTGCAATATTGAAGAATTCTACAGGGAAAATATTAAATGACACAGGAAGCATCAAAAGAAGATTGAAGGTATACACAGAGTCACTATGCCAAAAAGAATCGATCAGCATTCAACCATTTCAGGAGGTGGCATATACTCAGGAACCAATGGTACTGAAGGGAAATGTCAAAGCTGCACTGAAAACATTGGTGAAAAACAAGGCTACAGGAACTGATGAAATACCAATTGAGATGTTCCAACAAATGGATGCAGTGCTGGAAATGCTCACTTGTCTACGCTAAGAAATTTGTAAGACAGCTACCTGGTCAACTGACTGGAAGAGATCCATATTTATGCCTATTCGAAAGAAAGGTGATCCAACTGAATGTGGAAATTATTGAACAATATCATTAATATCACACTCAAGTAAAATTTTGCTAAAGATCATTCAAAAGTGGCTGCAGCAGTACATCCACAGGGAATTGCCAGAAATTCAAGCTGGATTCAGAAGAGGATGTGGAATGAGGGATATGATTGCTTATGACAGATGGATCCTGGCTGAAAGCAGAGAATACCAGAAAGATGTTTACCTGTGTTTTCTTGACTACACAAAGGCATTCAAATGTGTGGATCATAACAAATTATGGATAACATTGGGGAGAATGGAAATTCCAGAACACTTAATTGTGCTCATGAGGAACCTGTACATAGATTGAGAGGCAGTCTTTGAACAGAACAAAGGAATACTGTGTTGTTTAAAGTCAGGAAACGTGTGTGTCATGGTAGTATCCTTTCATCATACCTATTCAATCTGTATGCTGAGCAAATAACCCAAGAAGCTGAATGTGGCATCAGGATTGGAGGAAAACTCATTAACAACCTGCAACATGCAGATGACAAAATCTTGCTTGCTGAAAGTGAAGAGGACTTGAAGCACTTACTGATGAAGATCAAAGACCACAGCCTTCATTATGGATTACACTTCAACATAAAGAAAACAAAAATCCTCACAACTGGACCAATAAACCATATCATGACAAACAGAGAAAAGATTGCAATTATCAGTGATTTCATTTTACTTGGATCCACAATCAACAGCCATGGAACCAGCAGTCAAGCGATCAAATGACTCACTGTAAAGGGCAAATCTGCTGCAAAAGCCCTCTTTAAAGTGTTAAAAAACAAAGATGTCACCTTGAAGACTAAGATGCACCTGACCCAAGTCGTGGTATTTTCAATCACCTCCTACACATGCCAAAGCTGGACAATGAATAAGGAAGACTGAAAAAGAATTGATGCCTTTGAATTATGGTGCTGGCAAAGAATGTTGAATATACCATGGACTGCCAGAAGAATGAACAAATCTATCTTGAAAAAGTACAACCAGAATGCTCCTTAGAAGCAAGGATGGCAAGACTTTGTCTCACATACTTTGGACACGTTATCAGGAGCGATCAGTCCCTGGAGAAGGACATCATGCTTGGTAAAGTAGAGGGTGAGCAAAAAAGAGGAAGACCCTCAACAAGATGGATTGACAGTTACTGCAACAATGGGCTCAAGCATAAACACCATTGTGAGGATGATGCAGGACAGGGCAGTGTTTCATTCTGTTGTGCATAAGGTTACTATGAGTTGGAACCAACTGGACAGCACCTAACAACAACAACATTATATATTTAAGCTTTACTGGTTTTGCTTCTCTAGAGAATCCAGCCTAAGACATTTGGTAGCAGGAGTGGTTCTAGAGAAACAAAAGTGTAAAGATGAGTTTTCTAAATTGATTTTCAAGTCTGGTTAGTCTGAAAGATATTGATGACTCTGCTTCCAGTAGTAAAGAGGGCACTGCTAATCCATGGTGTGAGGTGGCAATAGATATGTGCAAAATATCACCACCAATAGATACGGTATTGGTGAAAGCAAAGCTCTGGGAGATTGCATGTTTGATACCTTTCTGCAATGTTGTCATAATGAGAAGTATAAGGAAGCTGGTTGGTTGGTCCTACTTTAGCTAGACAAAGTGGTGGAAGAAAGAGATGAACTCAGGGCTTCAGAGTCAAAGGTCAAACACCTCAAAATATCCACTTGTGCTTTGAAAGAAAGCCTTATTTGTTGTAGTAACAGAGCTGATATTGCCGAAAACCAAACCCAGAGTCTTATCCTAAGAGTGGCTGAATTACAACACCAACTGAATTCCCAACCTTGAGTGGTGTCTGAAGTTAAAGTGAGGGCATTGACTGGGGAGAAATGGGATCCTGAAATTGGGATGGGGACATATGAGCAGATAATCAGGAAGGTGGGGACATTGAGCCTCTAAATTCCATTGAATCACTCCTGCCAATGGAACCAGCCCTAACTTGAATCACAGAATTGAAAGTCACAGCCCCTCAATCAATTCCCAGACTTGAGCAAGTTTAAAGACCCACAACCCCTTCAGTGAAGGGGAGGCTGGATCCCCTTGAGGAAGGACCACACTGCACTGCCCAAAACTTATACTGTTAATCTTTCTCCCAGCTTTCCCCAAAGGGATCTACAGCTTTTTAAAAGAGTGACTATTCATTGGGGAAAAGGAAATAATCAGAGTTTTGGGGGATTACTGAATACTGGCTCTGAACTGACACTAATTCCAGGAGACTCAAATTGTAGCCCACCAGTCAGAGTGGGGACATATGGAAGTCAGGTTATTAATGGAGTCTTAGCTCATGTCTGTCTCTCAGTAGATCCAGTGGTCCCCAAGCCCAGCCTGTAGTTATTTCTCCTATTCCAGAATGCATAATTGCAATAGATATACTCAGCAACTGGCAGAACCCCCACATTAGATCCCTGACAAATGGAGTAAGGGCTATTATGGTAGGAAAAGCCAAGTGGAAGCCATTAGAACTGCCCTTACCTAGGAAAATAGTAAACCAAAAGCAATACTGCATTCCTGGAGGTATTGTAGAGGTTACTGCCGCCATCAAGGACATGAAGGATGCAAGGGTGGTGATTCCCACCCGTTCCCATTCAACTCACTTATTTGGCCTGTGCAAAAAATAGATCTTGGAGAATGACAGTGGATTATTGAAAACTTAACCAGGTGGTGACTCCAATTGCAGCTGCTGTTCCAGATGTCATTTCACTGATTGAGTAAATTAATACATCTCCTGGTACCTGGTATGCAGCTGTTGATCTGGCTAATGCCTTTTTCTCCATACCTGTTTTGAAGGACTACCAGAAGCAGTTTGCCTTCAGCTGGCAAGGCCGGCAATACACCTTCAGTTGCCTACCCCAGTGTTGCATCAACTCTCCAGCCCTATGTCATAATTTAGTTCCAAGGGACTTTGATTGTCTTTCCCTTTTACGAGATGTCACACTAGTCACACTGATGACATTATGCTGATTGGATCCAGTAAGGAAGAAGTGTCAATGACGCTGGACTTATT